AATTAACCGATCCTTAATTAAGAACAACTCAAATGCCATAAAAAATAGAAAATAATTCACACCCGGAAGCCATAATTTAAAAAAAACGAGAATGTTAAACGATAATAAAAAATTGTCTCGAAGTTTTATTCAACTAGTTGCGCAAAGCAGTGGATTGTTGCAAGAGCGGCACGATTTTCTGATCTCTCTTTTGGCCTGACTATTAGCTCCAATCGATCCCAATTTCACCATGGCCTGACCAAACCTAAACAAGAAATTGTTACCGTTGGTGTCACAAGAAATGGTGAGTTGTTGATCGATATGAAGGATTCCCCGGCGAAAACTTATCTGTTTGTAGAAAGATACATCCATAGTATATTCGAACTCGCCAAATCTTGATCTAGATTAATGATGCCATCAGTTGAAGAATTTTGTAGACATTTGATTCTTAACTCTTGGACCAGTTTTCAATCCATAGATTTATCAGGCTGTTGTGTATTTAAAAAATTATAGAACCGGTCCATACAGTGCCGTCTCAAAACTTTTAAAGACCCATGGCGAAAACAAAAAAATATTTGGACCTTTTTAGTATAAATTTTTTTTAGACTCTTTTCCGTATATACCTAAAAAAAAATGGACCCCTTTCCTTTAAAGAAATTAAAAAATTTGGCGCGGGCCCAAAGCATAGGCCCCACTGGCCATCTCTTAGAGCCGGCACTGGGTCCATAATGAATGAACAATGTGTCACTCCGATCGTATGTCCACCTATGCATATACAAAGAACAAAAATTAAAATGTCATTTTTAATTTAATTAAATGGCTTAAGACTGCACCATGTAGTTTATAGTTTAGTAGTTTGTATTAGTATCGTTGACGACAAAAATATATTTGATTTAAATTTATGATGTTTAGTTTACTACCCATACCAAGAAGTAGAACCATGTCGGTAAGGCTAAGGTTCTCTTTAGCAAATTTTGCAACGGTATCGGAGACGGTCAACCGAGGAGACGGCAAATCAATGGTGGAAGCCAAAGAGACCAAACCATCATGTCGTCCCGTTGGTATCTCATATTTTATTTTTCGTCCGCTTGCCTTGAAATCAAATTTTCAATTATTTTTGCAATCGGTTAGGAAACACATAACATAGAAAATAGAGGGTGTAGATGTAAGAATGAAATTTAGTGTATTTACAAGAGTAACATGATCTCTAGTCGCCATAGCTATGATATCAGCACAAGAAACGACATTAGGACATTCTTTTTCGACCACACTTTTCACATCATCGATCAATTCATATCCTCGCACACTTAGATTTGGCGACGCCTTTTTCTCGCTGCTAGTACCATCTAGAAGAAGTGACGCATCACATCCCTACATACATTTTTATAATACATCTAAGAACAATCGTTGTTTCTTTCAAAACTCATTACATTTTAAGTACAAGAAGAGTTAATTAACTTACATTGTCGCTAAAACAATCGTGGAAATAAAGGCGGATCATTGCGGGTGCGATGGATGAATTCTTGTTGAATCCCTCTTGCTTTAAATACAATGTCTTCAACTTTTGGGCAAGTTTTATTGTAGAATCCGTGTTGAAGCTGGCCATAACAACAGTGGCCGAAGCTAAGCAGAGCAAGAACGAGAATCAACACTGAAATGGTTGAGATCTTTACGGCCATTTTTGATGATATTTCTATATGAACTCCTATAGTAAAATATGTTACAACTTTTATAGTGTTCAAGTTAAATACAAAATGGGTAGCAAGCACGATTCTCCAACGTGCGTTCATGGATATAATTTATTATTCTAGTTCTCACATACGATCACATATAATGTCGGACTTGCTTCATTTTATAAATGTCTTTAAGTTCGTCAAAATTTATACTAATTGATTGGTGATGTACACTTACAATCAAATGAATTATCCAATCCTTCATCAAAAATATGATCTAAACATTTTCTAACTAAAAAGTACAAGAGAGAATCTCCGACCTTCAAAAAAGTTGATGCCTTGGCCTCAAATTTAATTCTGAAGTATGTATCTTCAAGACTTCAACCAAAGTCACATATTGTTTGTGGACGAATTATGATCTTAATTCTATGAGCTCGAAATCCCTTTTCTTCATTATTGGTCAAAAGGTTTCTCACCAGATTGTTCTTGCATTAAAAAAAAAAATGTTGTTGCAATTTTGAAATGTTTTTCTATAGTTTAGATTTTATTATGTAAATACATATATCACATGAAAAAGCAAAGCACTAGTGCACTAGTATGCATAAAGACGAGTTTATGATTAAAACTCAATAAAACCATTGTTCTTTGTTTTCCAAAATTTGTAAAAGTGTTTCTTTAATCCTGGCTCAACGTAAGGGCTCTGGATCAAACGTTTTGGATGGTATATTTTACGTATACATGGATAATGATTGGTAACAATTTACCACCACTTTACAATTTGTAACGTTTAAATTGTATCAACCACAAAACATTACATTCAAATTTATTTGTACAGTTTTTTTTTACATTATTATTTTTACAGTTTTGTACTATGCTCTAACCGTTTACAGTTCCAACTGAAAATTTTATACCGATTTATGTTACAATCACATCCATTATAAAGTTTATTGTTTAATTAATTGGTATATACTAAACTAATCTCAGAAAAACTATACTCCATCTGCTTTCAAAAGAGTGTCATTTTGACACAATTTTTTTGTTAAAAAAGAGAATCGTTTTAGGTTTCCAACACATATTTTAACATGTTTTTCCATTTTTAACCTCAATCAAAATTATCACATAATTTATAAATAAAAAATAAAAACCATATGAAGAGTCAATTTAACACAAAATTTCATATTCACGTTGGTTTTAACCTCAATCAGTCTTACACGTTAATGAACAAACATATTTAAATGCATTAATTATTGGGATAATTACCAAAATGCCACTTTTTGTGTGCACATTTGCAAAAATACCACTTAGGGATGTCCATTTATAAAAATAACATTAATTATAGATTTATAAAGCCTATATCTTAAAATTCTAAACCCTAAAAAATGTTTTGGCACCTAAAACCCCCTAAACACTCAAAACTAAACCCTAATAAAACATAATTAACCCAAACGTAAATAATATAAAGAAAAAATAATTTTGAAAAATTAAAGTGGCATTTTTATAAATATTTCAAAAGTGTGGTATTTTTGTAAAGTGCACTTGAAAAATTGTATTTTTTGAAATTTCTCTTAATTATTCGAATAGGACTATTGACTCATTTAATAAGAATACAAAGAGATCCATCGAATGTTTTAATTTTTTAC